AGACCCCACCTAGTACCTCTTCCTGCCCGTTTTCTTTGTCCATGTGAGATATATTCCAATAGGACCTACTGAGTCTGATTCCCCTTCTTAAAATACATTTCCCCATTAATTTTACAAATTTGTGGGGCTATCCAAACAGCCACTTGTTATTGCTATCAGTACCTTTATTTTATTTTCCCTCTTCTTCCACTCCACTTACCCAGTGCCCTGCCTCTTTTCTCTAGCTCCTACTAGACCCCTCCCACATCACTAAATGGAGCCAACTATCTGTCTATAACCCAGCACCTCACACACCACAAGTCTGTTCATCCATGTTCTCATGTAATTACATCGAGAATAATAAAAACTAGGCAAAAGTTTCATAAAAATATTCCTATTTACTCACTTTTATGATTTCTTGCTCACATCAGCGGATTGATTTTTCTGGCATTAACCGTAGTGTAGCTACTCCAACTTTCATATTGTCTGTAGACATTGTCAGATGGATTTGGCAGCTCACCTTTGATCTGTCTGTCAGTTCATTTGCCGGATCAGGCGTGTTATTCGCTTCATCAGTGACCATGTCTAGCTTCTCATATATATGATCTTTTAAGACAAGCAAGCCACGTTCCCTCACATAGACCATAATCCTCAGTATCTATTATTTCTGAGTTACAAGAACTAACCTGTCTTATAGGGTCGTCATGAGTTCAGAGACTCTAGAGCAGTGAGTGGAGTGGAGTGGAGTACATAGTCATCAACTTTTTCTTTGGTAGTTAATATTTCACTGTCACAGTTTATGAAGTGAACTCTTCCTTTCTCTTCTGAGCTGCTCTGCACCCTTGCCAACATCCTCAGAGGCTGGGTCATGCTTGCCTTGTCACCACTACTACCCAGGCCCAGCTCCCAGCTCCTAGCACAGGGTAGGTCCAGTGTGGAGCAGCCACTGAAGGGGAGCCAGGATTCCGGTGGCCCCTGTGGTGGCCCTCACCTGCAGCTCCTCTTGTTTACTCATGATTACCATTCTCCCCAGCTAGCCCCGAAGCTCCCTTTGGACAGAGGTTTTCCTCTTATTTTCCTACCTAAAATAATGCCTGGCACCTAGTAAGCTCTCAATAAACAATAACTAACTTGAATTGTACTGAATTGAAAAAGAGGTCAGTAATGAAACAGGGAGGGTAAAGGGAGAATGGGTAGGAAAGAGGGAACCGATTACAAGGAACTGTGTGTGACCTCCTCCCTGGGGGACAGACAACCGAAAAGTGGGTGAAGGGAGACGTCGGACAGGGCAAGATATGACAAAATACCCATTTATAAACTATCAAGGGCTCATGTGGGAGGGGGGAGCAGAGAGGGAGGGGAAAATGAGGACTTAATGACGGGGGTTTAAGTGGAGAGAAAATATTTTCAGAATGATGTACAAATGCTCTTTACACAATTGATGTGTGTATGGATTGCGATAACAGTGGTATGAGCCCCTAATAAAATGTTTAAAAAAGAAAAAGAGGTCAGTAAATTAAGAGGTAGACCCTCAACAAGATGGATTGACACAGTAGCTGGCTGCAATAGTGGGCTCAAACATAACTATCGTGAGGATAGCACAGGACCAGGAAGGTTTTTTGTTGTACAGAGGGTCGCTATGAGTCAGCCAACTCCACGGCACCTAACATCCACCACAACAAATTGAACTTGGATTTTTACCTCGGAAAATCTTTTGGAGATGTGAAAACTCATTTAAGTCAACGTTTTTGCTTTACAACTTTTGCTTTGCAAGAAGGGCATGCTCCAAATGTAAAGACGATGCATTTGACCGGGAAGGTTTTCTAACATCTGTAAGTCCAGATGAGCCATTATCATGCTCTTCAATGTCAGTCTTCTGTGTGTCAGAGTGTTATAGTAGTAAATTCAGTTTAGCCCAGCAGTGGACACATTCATGGGGATGAGATTGCCTTCCCTCTCCCACAACTAAGGCAGCTTTAATCACAGCATCAAGGAGCTCAAAATAGGCCTCGCTTTTGAATCTGTGTATCAGGAGGGGGCTGGGAGCTGGAGCGGGAGGATGTCATGTCACAGTGATTAATGATCTCTAGGAAGCTGAAAGGGGAAAGTAATATACACAGTATTTCTACCCCCTGGAGTAGGAATGCAAACACCATTGTGCAGACCGGTGCATAGTCACTGACTTCCTGGTAGCTGGAGAATTTCATACACTTTTCTACCACAAATAAAACTGTCAGGGAAGTGACAGAGCTCAAAAAACTGGCCTTTCTTACTTAAAGAGAATAGCTGAAACACAGTGAGCCAGAAAATTAATTTTGTAGTTGTTTGGGAACCCAGTTGTTTAATAAGAGATGGGAAAATGGGAACTGTTTTTCAAGCCTTAAACCTCCAAATATTTGTTGAATCGAACTTTACATTTGGTTTCTTAAATTTACTGGATTCCTGGAAACTGCTAAGTGAATTTAAAGCGGGAGCATTCCTTTGTAGTGCCATGGACCCTCTCACTGTTCAGTGTGGTCTCTGGTAGATTCGGAACCGCACTATCAGTGGGCTTGAGATCTTGTTGCCGTGATTTTCAAAAGATAATCTTTAAATTTCAGAATATTTCACACTGTTTAAAAAAGTAATTCTAAGGTAGATTTCCCCCCCCCTCTTTTAACCCTCAATGAGTCTAGGTTTAGTAACAATTTCCAAATACCTAGGGCAGAAGTAAAATGTTTCTAACTGTAAGTTAGGAACTGCAGATGTGTGCAAATTCTTTTCCCTTTAATTTGTGGCAAAAACATTGTATTTCATCCAACTTTGATTATTTACCAATAACCAAAATTTAAGGGCTGTGGTGGTGATGGCAGTGGTGATGGGAATGGCAAACCTACCCCTTACTTAGTAACTTTTCTTGTTACATGACATTTCACATCTGTGACAATAGTTAAGAAACCGACTATTTGACTTCTTTGTGCATCAGTGAGACAACAGACATGGTGGCATTGGCTTCAGAGCATACCCCCCCAGCTCCTGTGCAGACTGAGGCCCTGCCACTCAAAATTGCTGTGGGGTAAGAAGGGAGGAAAGAAAGAGTTGCTGGGAAGATGTGTGCGTTTAATAATGACATCCCACAGTGAGCCGCACTGGAAGTGGGTCTGAAACCGCCTCCTTAAAGGAAGGGATGGTGTGTACAACCAGGTTTCCAGCACCCTCAAAGGGACCCCCGGCCTAGATGACTTGTCAAGCCTGGAAGGCAGAGCAGGCTCTGGTAGCAGAGTCTGCAGGGGTGGGAGTGGAGTCCTGGAGTCCCACCCCAGAAGGAATATCTGACCCAGCACAGAAGGAAGGTGCAGTAGTTAAGCTGTGGGCCTCTGATCACCCTGCCTGTTTTATCCAGCTCTGTCTCCGCCAACCTCCTCCTCTGCAAAAGACGAGTGCTAACTGGACAGTGACAGTCGTGAGCACACCAGTACAACTTAACGGCTGTTATTCCTGTAGGCATATTTTCCACATTGGAAAATTCTGACAAATGTATGGTCTGAAAATAGAAGGGGAAAAAATCTTCCATTTTCACATGATGTTATCAAAAAATGATCTGATCTTTAGAACCTACTAACTAACCATATAGATAATTTAGGAGTGGGCATAGTACAAAGTTTTTGTGAGAAGCAACTAAATAATTTGAATTTTACCAGGAATCATTAATTCCTAGGACTTTTGAGTTAGTTTGTTCTTGATGCCCTGTGCATGACCCCTTATTGTTCTGCATTGCCTCATTTTTATATTTTAATTTCTTATGAGTTTTTCTTTTCCCATACTACAAAAAGAAAAAAAGGGAAATATTTTGGGGTGAATGCCACATTTCTAACAAAAAGGAAAGACAAAATAAAAAACCTGTGTATTTTATTTGTTTTTGTCTGTTTTGTCTTCTTTATTAGAATCTAAATTAAAAAGAACTACTACAGTCTAAATTAAGGCAGCATCAGATAGTATAAGCCCTGAATTTGGTTTCCAAGTGGTAAGGCTTTTAAATTGCCTTTGCAAGCATTTATTTTTAGTCAGGATGTGGTTATTTTTAGGTCTGCTACTCTGTCACTAGGAAATGTAATGCCTTTCTTTCCATTGTTGTTTATCAGGAAGTTCTGAAACCCCGGCTTAGAAGACCCAGTTAGCCAAGAATACCATCTCTTCTCTTAGATGAAAGAATATGAAATAATGCAGGGAGAAAAATGTGTTAATTGAGAACATGTCCAATTTTAAATTGTTAGCATCATTTTAATCTCTGGTACACTGCACAACAGAACAAGGTTTTGAGGGAATGCCAAAAATACAATGTTTGGGTTCCCCCTACTGGTGCACATCCCAGATTCCTGTGTTCATTAATTCAGCGCTGAAAGGCCTAGGGATAGAGGTTAGAAGCAGCTATGATGGCACTTTACAAAGGGGTCTGTTGATGAGGGAGGAAGAAAATGCACCGTTGCCTTTCCTGTCGCTGTCTAACCACAAAAAGAGAGATGTTAGGAAATCTGCATGTTTCCTATAGCTAGAAGGAATAAAACTTCATCCTACCATATTTGCTTTTAAGTTTTATTGTCTCTGTGATATAAGCTGCTTATACATATTTGTACTTCTCGAATGCTTTGTTCTGTCATTTAAGGACTGATAGCACACCAGTGGATCCACAAAAGGATTGGAAACTCCAAGGGAAAAATGGAAAGCTAGCAGTGTTAACCATAATAAATTAAGCTGGCATTAAAGCGCAGTAGTTCTTTTTTTTAGCATTTATGAAGGTGACGTGACATTATGTATGTCTTGTCCATTTAACAACTGTTCTCTCTAATTTATCTTATGTGTATTTAAAATAATTCTTTATTTTCAACCTATTATCCAGTAAAGGCCAAGTAATATTAATGGCTCATTTGAAAAAGAAAAATTTTAATTGACTCCTACAGGTCACTTCTGAACTTCTTACTCTGTTTGCTTTTCAAAAGGCTATTCAATCAAATTAAAATTTGTACTTTTAAATTGCTTTCCAGTAATGCAGTCAACCTTTTAAGCAACGTTCCGGTCTCTTGTTTGGATGTTCTCATTTGTCCATTAACCCACGATGAAACAGCCCAGGAGGCAACGACGCTAGATGAACCACCCAATGATGAAACAGCTGAGAAAGAAACCATTTTGGAAAATAATACCATGACATACAATGGTATGAATATGGAAGCCATTCATGTTTTACTCAATTTTATGGAGAAGAGAATAGACAAGGTAAGACTAATAAAGTGGAGGGCTTAGGAAGATGTTTCTAAAGAATGTAAATGTGCCACTCACACAAACCCACACCACAAGGCTTGGTATTTTTAATCTAAGCTTTTCAGAGCTGACTTTTTGTACATTGTAAAGCCTATTATTATAGTATATGTTAACCTGGTGAAACCAAGTGAATTTTTGTAATGTTGATTACACAACACAAATTGTGTTGATTTAATACAGCGGTTTTCAACCTGTGAGTTGTGAGCCCTTTGGGGGTTGAATGACCCTTTCACAGGGGTCATCTGATTCATAAGGTTGAGAACCACTGATTTGATAGCAAATTTTGACTCATCCTTAAAAACAAAGGAAAAAAATCATCTCTCCCCCCAAATCTTAATAAATAACTCTGTGTGACACTATTAAAAGGCAGCAAGGTAGTATAGGTACATCACCAAAATCTTTTCTTTTTTTTAATAGTTGTATTGGTATTTAATTCATATATCGAGTGCATATTAAGAAGAGTTGTGTAATCATCACAACAATCCATTTCAGAGAATTTTCTTCTCCTCATTGTTAGCTCTCCTTTTCTCCCCAGCCTCCCCTGCCATGCCCCTCGATAATTATTATTCCAGTTATTATAACTGTAGATTTACCTGTCCTGGACTTCATTTACAGAAAACCATACGAAACATAAGCAGGAAGCAAACAAACAAACAGCAATGGCAAAACGAAGCAGGAAACCCACAATGGAAAAGAAAGCAGAAAATAGTAAAAACGGAAACCGTTTTAAAATGGGTCAAAAAGGAGATCGAGTGATAAAGTGTTACAGTTTAACCTAACTACATCTCCCATAATCCACTTTATAATGGTGTCTGATTACCAAGGCTATTCACACACTAAGCCTATGGTCACAGGGGATTTACCCAAAGCTTAATCCATGTGTGGACCCTGCAGGTGGATTTTGGGCTCCACTCTCATCTGTAGCCTTCTGTAAACCAGGTGTTCAGAATTTAAGCTCTGATACTCTTCCTAACTTTGGTTTGGGGTTTTATTATTTACAATCTTTGGATCACCCAGGCTGCTGTGCTTCTCCCATGTGAACTTAATTGATACCTCACGGAGACGGCTGTTTGTTTGGAGACTAGCCTTTAGGAACCCAGCCACTATGGTTTCTGAGAGCTGAGTACCATTTGGTTTCTTGAAAACCCATAAAGGACAAAATGGGCATTAGTAGACAGAAGACAACTTATAAAATGGAAATAGTGTAGTGAAGATAATTTTTTAAATAGCTTATTTATTGCAAAGTTTTGATAAATAAGATATTTGCCAGCACCACCCAAAAAAGATCATTAATATGATCAGCTACATGGAGGAAAATAATGTTATTAGATATTGAACTAATATGAACATATGATTTATTTTATAGGGAAGCAGCTATAGAGAGGGTCTAACGCCAGTTCTCAGCCTATTAACAGAATGTTCCCGAGCTCATCGAAACATCAGAAAATTTCTCAAAGATCAGGTAACTAATTAATATGTGCTATGTTAAAAATAAATGTGTGTTATGTCATGATTTGCATGTACATTACAAATAATTTTCTTATGTATATCTTTGCTTTTTTAAAGAATGAGTTGAATTCTTGTAATGGTTTTATTTCAGAAAATTTTAAACTCGGAAGTCTTTGTTTTAATCATTGGTATATTTCTAATTAGAAATAAGTAGTCATGGATACTTTTGAGGTATTTGGTCATTCATTTATTCAGCAAAGGCTTATTGAGCATCTACAGTAAGCCTTTGTTTCTTAGCATTGTTCTAAACATTGAAATACTTTAGAGTGAGGGACAAAGTAAACCAATACTTCCTATTTTAAAATAAAAGTCTATAATGGCAATTAGTCATAGGTGTTCTTAAGAAAGGTAAAATGGGAAAAGGAAACTTGGGAGGGAACGGGTCTCTGAAGAAATGGCATTTGTGCTGAAAACTGAGTAAATGAGAAAATAGTCTGAAGAGGAATGTCCCAGGTAGAAAAAATGGAAAATCCCTGACACGAGAGAATGCTCTGCTCTCGAACGCATAAGGAGAAGGAGGTCCACCAGTATGGCTAGGTAAACAAACATGCCCAAGTGGGAGAGTGATAGAGAAGGAGGAAGGACCAGAGAGCAGACTTTCAGTCCTCTTCTAATTGAGATAGGCAAGCATCAAAGTGTCTTAGGAAGAGGAGCTGTGTGATCTTATTTATATGAAAAACTTTTCTGGCTGCTGTATTTAAAATACACACTAGAGGAGTGTGAGTGGATACAAGGAGACCAGTTAGAAGCTGCTGCAGAAGCTCAAAAGCTGATCATGAAGGCTTAGTGATTGGAGCTCATGGTTTGGGGTGTGTTTTGAAATTTGATCTCACAGGCTTATTGGTAAATTGGGATAGGAGCTGAGGAAGAAAGCAAAGAATCAAGGTTGATTTTGATTTTGCTTTGTTAGTGTTTTTACTTATTTATTTTATTATTAATTTGGAGGTAATACATAAATCATTCTAGAGTTTAATCACATCAAGCAAATTGTACAATTGCTACCACATCGAGGATGATTTTTATTTTAAACCCTTAGATCAGTGGTTCTCAGCCTTCCTAATGCTGTGACCCTTTAACACAGTTTCTCATGTTGTGGTGATCCCCCAACCATAAAATTATTTTCGTTGCTACTTGATAACTGTAATTTTGCTACTGTTACGAATCGGGCAACCCCTGTGAAAGGGTTGTTCAACCCCCACCCCCACCCCCCCACCCCCGAAGGGGTTGTGACCCACAGGTTGAGAACCACTGCTTTAGATGGTATCCTAAACTTTTAATTCTATGACTTTGATATTAACAGTAACTAAAATTGACCTCTAAAATCTCAATTTCAAACTCCCACTGTCTACCCCTCTTCTCTTAAGTTAGTACCCTCAATTTCTAACACTTGGATCCCCATTTGGATTGTCAATCTGTCAACAAAAAACCATCCCCAACCCTGGTATCATTCATTCACTCACTTTATGTTCTTCCTTCCCTCCTCACCTAATCTAGATTGCATACAAGATTCATAACTTTAAATCACACCTTTGCCTGCATTTTAAACTGATTTTTCTCTCTCTCTTAGTCATTTCCACCTAACAAAACTTTGTTTCAGGGAATGTTTAAGGAAACAAAAAATAGATTAAAATTTTTTGTGTAATTTTCTTTAATAGATTTATACTCTGTACTATAAGTAAATATTCTTTGATGTCAGCTGTTGTTTTCTAGAAATTGATGATAAAACTCAATCTGGTGGTTCAATCAAATCAAGAATTTATTGTGTAATTACTTTGAGGCCAGTATTGTGCTACTTCCTGTTAGAAATAGTGAAAGGTGTAAAACATGCTAGGAGATATTGCTGCTAGGGAATTCACAGACTATTGGGAGACTACAGTGCTACCATAAAAACGTGCATGTTTAACAGATTAATTGATGAATTAAGGTCATTTCCAAATTTGAATATTTTAAAACATTGATAGATAAACAGTTAAGCGTTTGACTACTGGCTAAAGGGCTCCTCAGGAGGCAGGCCTGGCCATCCATTTCTGAGAGGTTTGCAAACCTCATGGAGCAGTTCAACTCTGGGCATGTGGGGTGCATGGGTCAAAATCCACTCACCGGCAATGGACATAACAACTTTGACTTGGAGGACGTGGTAAAAGATAGTTTTGAAAATAATGAAGTTGGCCATTGTTTTGCTTTTTCCCACAAGGGGTCCAAGCTGACTTACACTGGCCATCTCCAACCAAGATGACTAGGGACCTGCTGTTAAATAGCTTGGGTCTTGAGTAGCACATCGTGAGGCTACAGAAGATGGCAATACCCACTCCCTCGCCTCCAGAAACATTGGAGACTAGATAATAAGATAAGACAAGACAGGTTCCAAACTGTCTCAAAACCAGAGGCCGAGTCTAGAAATAAACTCTGCTGTGGAAAGAGCGAGGACTGAAGACTGCTGATCAAAAAAGAGATCGCTGAGAGTAACAGGGGATTCTCTCTGATAGTAGTGTAGGCTCAACCAGAGTTGATCATTCTGCCCTGTCCCCTGTACACATACCCAGAGGAAATTGGTCTTCAGTTTTCAGTAATTGAACAGATTAGTCTGGAAAACCTGATAGAAGAGATGAAGATGAATGTTGGGTGCCTGTGAAAGAGAACTAGACAAGAATTTCCACAGTTAAAAAAAAAAGAAGAAAAATTGTTGGAGGGTAGTATTTGGGGAGAAATGGTAAGGGACCATGCTCATAGAGTTTTGGGGTGCTAATATGATGACAAGAGCAAAACTTTGTTTTAGGAAATATTTAAGGAAAAATAATAGGTTAAATTTTGTGTGTGATCGTCTTAATAGATTTATACTCTGCAATATAGGTAAATGTTCTTTGATTGTAAGCTGTTATTTTCTAGAAATTGATATTAAAACTCAGCCTGGGGGTTCGATCAAATCAATAATTTATTGTGTAATTACTTTGTGGCTAGCATTGTGCTAGAAATTGTGAAATAAGAATTCATTAAACGCTTTCAGTAAATTACTGAATTTCCTGAGATTTAGTTTTCATTTTTGTCTAGTTATATTTCCTTCTTTCAACATTGGTTGTTTTGTCTCAGCCTCTTTCTTGCCTTCTGATTCAAACCAAAAAATTAACTCAGTCCCCTCGAGTCAGTTCTTACTCTTAGGGACCCTACAGGACAGAGGAGAACTGCCCCTGTTAGTTTCCAAGACTCTAAATACAGAAAGCCTCTTATTTCTTGTATGGATCAGCTGTTGGGTTCAAACTACTGACCTCATGATTAGCAGCCCAATGTACAACCCACTATGCTACCAGGATTCTTTTGCCTCCTCATAGGCAATCAGTACAGAAGGGGATGGAGGAAGGAAATTAGTTGAATTGTGAAATAAAAGAATGCATACATTAAGGTGCATGTAATAGATGTAGAATAAGTAAACAGGCAATTATTTGACTTAATGTCATTTCCATTTCCTAGCATAGTGTCTCACTTGTAGAAGGCACTTAATAAAATGTTATTTCAAGTAATTCACTCTTCCTCCAATCAGCAAATACTTCTTGAATACCTATTATGTGCCAGACACTAGTGAAAGAACAGTAAACAAACAGTTCCTACAGAGAATTTCCTCATGTGGAAGAAAGCAGACAGACAATAACTACATCCTGTGTCAGGTGGCCATGGATGCTGGGAGGAAGGCTAAAGCACAGAGTAGGGCATTCAGAAAGAGACTGCTAAGGGACAGTTATGTAGGGTGGGGGTGGTCAGGAAGAGCTCCTAAGTGACATTTAAGCATAAACTTTGAATTTCTGGGCAGAAGAAACCAACACAAAGGTCCTACAGTAGGCAAAGTGCTTGTCATGTGTAAGGAATTCCACGGTGACTGTAGCAACATAAACAAGGAGGATAATGGAAATGAGGTGAAAGAAGTCACCGGGAGCTAGAGTCATGGAGCCTCCTAAGACAGTTGTCAAGACCTTGTCTTTAACTCTGAGAGCTGAGAAACCTTGGGAATTGGAGGGCATTGGCAAAGGGAAATGGCACGATCTGACTCTCAGAGGATCTTCTAGCTGCTACATGGAGAAATAAAAGGGATCAGGGACCACGCCACATAGGAGGCGACAGGAGTAGAACAAGCAAGACGGATAGCTAACTTGGACTTTATAAGATTCGAGGAGGACTTAGTGAGAAGAGACTTGATTCTGGGTATATTTCAGAGATTGAGCTGACATAATTTGCCCATGGATTGGGCGTAAGGTGTAGAAGAAAGAAATGAAGGATATTTTCACATTTTAGCCCTAAACAAAGGAAAGAATGGATTCACCGTCTAAGGAGATGGGGAAAAAATGAAGGCCAGGTTTGGTGGGAGCATCAAGAGTTCCATGTCAGACATTTTAAACTTGAGCCCATGTAACAGCCTCGGAATCAGGGGAGAGATAACAGTGAGGCTATAGCTTTAGACCGGCTCTGTAAAGTCATCACAACCATATAAAGCCATGAAACTGGCTGAGAACTTCAATGGAGTGCGTGAAAATGCAAAGTTTTCCACAAACTGGCTCCTTGGATATTGAGTGAGCAAAGGAACAAACTTGAACAAAGTTACATCAAGCCTGAGAAAATTAGTCTGTAAAACAAGTATGATGCTGATGTTACTTACTTTGATTACATAGAATGTACATAAACCATTAAGCACTGTTCAGTCCATTTCAAGTCACAGCAACCCCATGTGACAGAGTAGAACTGCCGCATAGGCCTTTATTGGCTGTAAGCTGAACAAGCACAGATTGCTAGATCTTTCTTCTGCAGAGCCACTGGGTGGGTTCAAATGGCAAAACTTTCAAGTAGTAGCTGAGCATTTACTTAACTGGTGTGACCAAGCCAAAACCACCAATCCCATGACTATAGGAAGCAGACTGCCACATCTGTCTCCAGCAGAGCCGCTGCAGGTCTCAACCACCGGCCTTTCAGCTAGCAGCTGAGTGCTTAATCACTAGGATTCCCTGTTGTGCTGCCATATACAGAGACTAGCACATAGACATTCCTCAAAAAACAATAGCTGTTTTTATTGTAAAACAAATCAACTAGGACACTTTAAGGGTTTGGTTTTTGACCCCCTAAATTTTGAAAATGCTGCAGGAGTTCAAAGAAGATAAAAATGAATATGGATCAGTATTAAGGATGTTTCCACAGAGGAAGGAGAAACTTGACTAGACTTTTGCATAGCTCTTATTAGACTCTAACAGTTAGAGGTTATTCTGAGTAGATGCTGAGATGAGTAAAGATTAAAAAATGGATTTTGAGTATAGTCTGTTTTTAGTGAAGATATTCCTACTCTAATGAAATATTACAGGCATAAAATTATTTGAATATATTTTTGTTTGTTTATTTACTTTTCAGAAAAGTTAGTTATGTCTTTCCACTCTACAACAAAACTGAGCCCAGTAGACATTACAAAACCATGACTAGTCACATGGCCCTGTCCTTGATTACTCTCAGCTGATGACAGTTTTTGTGTTTGTGACATCAGGTTTTACCACCATTGAGGGATGTGACAAATCGACCTGAAGTTGGTTCAACGGTGAGAAATAAACTGGTGCGCCTCATGACACATGTTGACCTTGGAGTCAAGCAAATTGCTGCTGAATTCCTTTTTGTCCTTTGCAAAGAGAGAGGTAAGTTAAATTCTTTTTTGCCCTCTGCTTTTTTAGCTTTCTGTGGAAATGTTAATGGCCATCTCATTCCACTCTTTCTGGAGATTTTGAAGAAATAATAAAAATTAATTATTTGAAAGTATTTCCTATATGCTTCTGAATTCGCGGAGACATGTAAACAGAAACACCACCAAATGCGCTCGCTCTTAGACATTGCCTTCTGTATACTTAGCCATTAATCTTGAGTCAGAACCATTAGGAAAAATATACTTAGCTCATTCAGTTGCTGATAATTTGCTACCAAGGCAGAAGCCTGGGTTGGTTGTCCTATTTCATCCCTCATGGATTTAAGGTAAATCCTTCAATCAGTAGTTGAAAATGAGCTGTATATTAGAAGGATGATACATAGGATATGCTCCTTACCCTTAAAGTAAGGGTAAAATAATGGGAGAGGCAGATTCTACAAAGAAACTATATTTCTGATAATTATTGCACAACTCTTTTTAATATGATTGAACTATTGAATTGTATGGTAAGTGAACTATATGTATCAATAAAACTTAAAAATGGACTTTATTGCAATGAAACAAATACTATATATGTGTGTGTATTTATAATGGTGTTTTCCTGAGATAGAGATAACAATAAAAATACATCCTAAAATTGTGTGGATTATTTGCACTATAAAAGGCAAGTTTTCTAAACAAAGAATTTTGAATACATTATTCAAATATTATCACCTATTTATGTCTTCATCTAGTTTATAAATATACTTGATGGTTCCGTCTAAGAAGATGTTACATTTCACTTTTGAAAAGTATCTAGTTTTATGAGATAAGTTTGGAGATAGAAACCTATAGCGACAAGTAGAATAAGGGTTCCTGGGGCTATAGTGGGAGTAGGGCTACAGGGGAGCTGATGTCAAGGAACTCAAGAAGGAAGAACTTAAATAAGCATAAAACCCCTTCTCCCCCCCCCCCAAAATATTCTGTATAAATAGAAATATGGACTGCAGCATGTACAAGAGAAAATAAAAAATATTGTCACAAAATCATAAAGGCTTTTCTTTCAAAAGATGATCTGAATGTGTAGCTCTTCTTTCTCAAAGCTTCCGTCCAGAGGGTGGTGTCGTCTCGAACCCTTCAGTTTGTACCATACGATCAGTCATGTCGAGTGCCTGGCAAGAGGTTTTCCAAGGAAATTCTCTTAGGACAGCTTGGCTACCCATAAAGAATGAGTAGGTACATTGTTGTGATGGAAAAAGAATCTTTGGCACAACTTTCCTGGCCTTTTTCTCACCAATGCCAGTTTCAAATTTCTGAAAACTGTAACAGGCTCCTGTAATTGTCCCATCTCTTTCGTAAAAATATTCAATATTACCCCTTTTGGCCTCCCCAAAATAATCACCATACCTTTTGAGCTGACCCCTCTGCCTTGGACATAGCCAGCAGATCCCTTTAGAAACAAGTGTTTTGATTGGATCTTTTACTGATTTGAAGGCACCTTGTTGAGATTAAGACAAGTATTACTGAGAGAACTCGATCTTCAGCCATCCACTGATCACAGGGACATTTTAACCACATATTTATTTGCAGTACACCCATGCACGTATAAACTGAAACCGTAGTAATACTTTTTTACTTACCATCGTGTATGTGTGTGTGTGTGTGTGTGTGTGTGTGCGTGCACATGCACCTGAGTCCATATTTAATTTGTAGGTCATCGATTGTAACCTCTTTTAGTTGCCCAGAAGCCAAATTATGGATTTGGGGTATAAACTATCAAACCGAAATAAATTTCAAAGAATCAGATAAGCTAAACTTCCCACTTAAGAAGGTGCAAAGCTAAGTCTGAAAATGAAGAGACTGATAAAGTCTCAGAAGTCAGACCACTAGGTAGAGACAGCAATGAACAATCAAAATCGGTTAGGAATTTAGAGCTTTTTAAAAATGAAATTGGATGAAATACAAAGGACAACATTTTAATGGTAGACTAGGCACAGAAAGAACCATCTGTGCCAGGCCAAATGCATCTCAACTGATAGTGACCTACAGCTTAACCTTCGCTCATGCCACCGTCTTGTTCTTTAGAGCCCTGGCATAACCGAATTCTTACTACCTGTTATAAAAATTGTATACTTTCTGTGGAGAACTTAAGCTGTACATAATCTGAACAAGAGATGCTGAACTCCCTGCCCTAAAGGGCTTGGGTTACCATTTTAACACATTAATTCATAATCTATGTTAGTTAGACATTGTGATAGGAACTGAATTACAGAGTTTTGTGTTTTGGGGTTTTTTTTTGTGTTTTTTTTTAAGGCTTAAACTCCCTCAGCACGTAGCCCCACACCTATATACTTACTTTAGTCTCCTTCGTCTCAATCTTGGAAAAGTAAGGTGTCCCTGGAGCTCAGGGTTACATAGTCCTCCAGTCTTCATGTCTTTTGAGAAGCTCCTTCCATTGGTACCCTCTGTTCTTCTGCTCTTAACTCTGTATTTTCCTAAACCTATATACATATGCATATCGCTGTTCTTCGAGTCATGGCATCTTGAAGGATTAATCTTTTCAATATTCTCAACTTCCCATTCAGCCTTCAACTCACTGTGAGGCAGAATGCCCACTGCTGTTCCCTACTCCCTAGGCTCCCTAGTCGATAATCCACTATTTCAGGAAGGAAGGTAAGAGCAAGAACTGATGGTGCTGAAGGAAGAAACTCAAACTACACTGAATACATAAGCCAAAAACAAGGCTCCAGGAATTGATGGAACCCCCACGGAAATGTTTCAGAAAGCTGAAGATGCACTAGAAGTGCTCACTCGCCTGTGCCAGGAAATTTGGCATAGCTGCCTGGCCGTCTGACTAGAAGAGATTCATATCTGTGCGCATTCCAAAGAAAGGTGACTCAACAGAATGCTCAAACTGTAAAGCGGTATCATTGATACCGCACACAAGGAGAATTCTCCAGAGACAGTCCAACAGGGGTTGCAGCTGTACGTTGACTGGGAGCTGCTAGTTCAGGCTGGATGCAGAGGAGGATGTGGGACAAAGGCTATCAGTGCTGATGTCAGATGGATCTTGGCTGAAAGCAGGTAACAACAGAAAGATATTTACTTGTGTTTCATTGACTATGCAAAGGCTTTTGACTGTGGGGACCATAGTAAACTAAGGATAACCTTGAGAAGAATGGGAATTCCAGAACACTTATTGTGCTCATTTGAAGCTTGCACATGGATCAAGAGGCAGTTGTGCAACAAAACAAGGAACTGCATGGTTTAAAATCAGAAAAAGTGTGCATCAGGGTCATATCCTCTTACCATACTCATTCACTCTATATGCTGAGGAAATCATCAGAGAAGCTGAATTATGTGAATGTGACATCAGTACTGGAGGAAGGCTACTAACAACCTGCAGAATGCAGGTGGCAGCCTTGCTTGCTGAAAGTGAGAGGAATTGACGAACCAGCTGATGGAGATCAAGGATTGTAGCCTACAGTATGGATCTCAACTCAGTGTAAGGAAGACCAAAATCCTCACAACTGGATGAATAGGTAGCATCATGATAAAGGAGAAAAGGGGATTTTGTCTTACTTGGATCCACCACCAATGCTCATGGAAGCAGCAGTCCAGAGATTAAAAGATATATTGCATTAGGCAAATCTGCACAAGACCTCATTAGAGGATTGGAAAACGAGGATGTTACTTTGAGGACTAAGTGCACTGACCCAAGTCATGGTATTCGCCATTGCATCACATGCATGTGAAAATTGGACATTGAATAAGGAAGACCGTAGAAGAACTGATCCATTTGAATTGTGTTGCTGGAGAAGAATATTGAAAGTACTATGGACTGCTGAAAGAACATACTGATCTTTGGAAGAAGATCAATTGATATTGGAAGAAGTGAGACCAGAGTCCTCTTTAGAGACTTTGTCTTACATACTCTGAACATGTTGTCTGGAGACACCAATCCCTGGAGAAGGACATGATGTTTGGTAAAGTTGGAGAGGCGGCAAAAAAGAGAAAGGCAGGCCCTTGACCAGATGGATGGAAACAGTGGCTGCATCGATGGGCTCAGGCATAGGAACAATTTTGAGGATGGCACAGGGCCAGTATGAGTCGGAGCCAACTTGATGGCACCTAACAACAACAGTACTCTAGATTCCACTGAAATTGCTCTCAGCAAAAATCACAAATTACCTGATTTTAATAAGCAGTGGATTTTTATCTTTACCACTTCTTAAGTGGCAGTCAGCTCTTGCCCATTGTCTTCTTGACTCGCTCTCGGCTCCTGGCTTCTCTGATCCACGCACTCCTAGCTTCCCCTTAGCCTCTGCTCCTGCTTTTCAATATGATTTACTGACTCCTGTCTTTGGCCACATTTAAATGATGTTATTTCTTACAGTTCTCTTTTGGCCTTCATGCTCTCTTTACATTGCTCCCCAAGCAATCTTATCCCCTCCCTTGGCTCCTACTTCAGCTCTTTTATGGTAATTTCAAACCGTGTCTCTTCAGCTTTCTTCCTGAACCCTCCTGTATATAGCCAGCCACCTCTTCACTGAACAGCCTCATTGGATACACCCAGCTACCTCACACTCCCATCTAAATGATTTGTCTTTCAGCCTTTTCTTTTTCCTTTGATCTTTTTCTCTGTGAAAGGCTCTATTCTGGATTTCATTGCTGACACCAGAAACCTAGGAGTTAGCCTAGATTTTCTCTTTATCTGCAGAAGCAAAATTCGCCAAGTCAAATAGATTTTGCTTCCTAAATATCTCTTTAATTTACCCCCTCCAACTGTCCCCACCACTACGACTACCTACATACAGAAGGTGTAAATTGTTTTCCTAAACTGTTAAGATAACTTGATAAGCTATTAATAAACTATTAAAATAGACCAGATTGTTTTATTCTCTCGCCCAGCTAACAGGGGTGTCTCTGAAATACAAATACATTCTTGTCATTTCCCCATATAAAACTTCCGATGTCCTACTGTTACCTGTTTGATAAAATTAAACTTTGACTTCA